ACTTCATTGGCTATGCTATCGTCATTTGAAACGCAGTCATCTTAGTAAGCGAAACATTCCACTACATCTAATTCTTGACCATCAATCATCAGCACTGAGGTAGACAACTTCCAGTCTTGTAGCATCACTTTGTACTTTGAAGGTGCAAACCCATGACGAAAGGAGTGATAGAAGTCGCTAGTCTGTCAAGAGTGCATTGCGCATCCTCCATAGATTCGAACAGGCATACGATGTCATCAGCCTACTGTAAACCGCACAGCTGCCCATTCAATACCAACATTTCGCAGACCACTAAGTGCGTTCTCCAGCACTTCGTCGACGACGAAATTAAACAGGCGTGGCGAAATAAGGCACCCCTGACAAACACCGCTCCTGGTTTCGAATAAGTTACTCAATCAGCCGTAAATCCTTACGCTACCAGAAGTATGCAAGTACAGCGACTGCATACTTCTGCGGTATTCCTTTGTTAAGCAGCGACCCCAGAAGAGCTTCCCGGTCAACTGAATAGAAGGATCCTTTTAGGTCAAAGGATGCCGCGATTGTTGGCCGACGATGTGTGACGCAGAGCGAAGATTCGATCAATGCGACCGCTACCTGGTCGTAATCCGGCTTGTTGTTTGCGGATATTCATCAGGCGGCGAAGTATCACAGAAGTCAACAACTTTGTGGTTATCAGAACAAAACTAATCCCACGGTGGTTAGCGCAGTCGTCGCGTGACCCCTTTCTGTAAATAGAGACGATTATCGATTTACCCCAAGACAAAGGGATCCGCTCCTCCGTCCAAATGCTGCAAAGTAAGCTAGGAATTGAATCGACAAGAGAATCTCCGCCCACCTTGAAAAAAATAGAGAAAAGCCCGTCAGGTCCCGTAGCCTTCCCGTTCTTTAGTAGTTGAATGCAGCTTGGTACTTCCGATTCCGATTGGGGGCTGGCATGTTACCACCCATGGAGTTACCGCCGCAATTGGTGGAATGACCGCATTAGCACCGGGTCAATTAACCTGCTGACTAAGATATTCTGCCCATCTATCAAGTCGTTCTTTATTGTGGATACTCTGTTCACTTTTATCGCACATGACGAGTGCACGCGTGAGAACCAGGCTGGTTTTAGACCTGGCCCAGGTTGTATCGACCACATCTTCACTTTTCGCAAAACTCTAGACCACCGACATTCTTTTCGAAGACCGACCGTCTCTATCTTCCTGGAACTTTAAGCGCCT